TATGCCCACAGTGTCAGAAAGGGTGCCTCAGATCCCTGTCTTTTTTTTTTTTTTTTTTGTGACAGGGTCTCCCTGTAGCCCCAGCTGTCCTGGAACTCACTATGTAGACCAGGCTGGCCTTGAACTCACAGAGATCTATCTGCCTCTGCCTCTCGAGTGCTGGGAAAAAAGACACAAAAGTCTGAAGATTTTAGGAAACAGCAGTCAAGGGAGTAATTTTTTAAGGGCAAATACTCCAAATGTGTATGTAAGGAGGAGTGTAATAACTACATGAGGCTTTTTAGACTTCTGCCTTAGCCTCCAGGTGCTGAGGTTATAGGTGTGTACTGTCACTCCTGGCTTTACTTTGGGCAGTTTTTTTTCTTAATTGGGAGAGAAAATAAAGTTCACCAACAGAGTCCTTCAGAAAATAACTCGACTCAAACAACAATAGAGCTGTATCTTCATAAAAGTTCAGAAAATTCTGTAGGACAGAATTTTCATAAGCAGTAAGAAAATGGATTGAGGAAAACATTTCATCATGAGTAAAAGAAATTATAACCCTGAAAAAGTCATAGAAAAAATGAGTGAAGGACATAGATAGGGAAATAACAAAAGGAAAACAAGTAGCCAACAGTTAAGAGCACTGACTGCTCTTGTAGAGGACCCAGGTTCAGTTCCCAACACCCACATGACAGCTAACAACCATGTATAACTCCAGTTCCAGGGGGGTCTGATGCCTTCCTCTGGCCTCCAAGGGCTCACACATGGTACACTTACTTACATGCAGGCAAAACACATAAAAGTAAATTTTTTTGTCTTTTTTTGAGTCAGGGTCTCCCTGTAGCTTCAGCTGGCCCCTGGGTCCTGCTGTCCACTCTTGCTGGGGTTATATATTAGTTACTTTTCTGTTGCTATGCTAAAACACTGACCAAGGGAACTTATAAGACAAAGAGTTTGTTTCAGCTTTACCCTTCCAGGACTTGGTAGGGAGGCATGGTGAAGTGGCTAGACAGGAGCTGAAAGCTAAGTGCTCATATCTTCAAGCAGGTACAGGAAGCAGAATGTGACTGGAGATCTGGCAAGGCTTGAGAACTCTAAGCTACCCCCAATGCCGTGCTTCCTCCTACAAAACCACACCTTCTAAGACCTCCCAAAATAGCGCCATCAACTGAAGACAAAATTGTCCAAATACTTGGGGGAGGGTATTCTCATTCAAACCTCGACAGGTTATAAATTATGTGAAATGTTCTAGGGGAAAATTTGCATATGTTCTTTATTTGTTTTTGAGACAGCGTCTCCCTGTAGCCCCAGCTGGCCTAGAACTTGCTGTGTAGACCAGGCTGGCCTCAATCTCACAGAGATCCACCTGCCTGTCTCTCAAGTGCTGGGATTAAAGGCATGTACCACCATGCCTGACTCACATAAATATTCTTTGATCCAGCATTTTATGTTATTTATGTTATGTTACTTTTAGGAATTTCTCAGAGAAAAAAAAAGCTTATTAAGTTTTGTTCACTGTGGTGGTGGTGGTTTGAATTATTACTGGAAATAGTGAGCTCTAGGAAGCAATGGCAGTGCTCATCATGAGAGCTAATGTAAGCAGCTTTTATGGCATCCAGCAGAGAAGGGCTGGGTGCTTGTTAAAAGAAAGAGATAGATCATTATGCTGACCATGGAAAAGATACAAGATAATTTATGAGACTAACCAACATGCAAACAGTACATAAAATATGCATCCACCTCCCACACACCCTATTTTAAATAAAAGATAAATCATTAAGATTTCTTTGAATGCAGTAGCTGTCTTGCCACTTCTTTCTTGGAAACCGTATTGAGAAAGTGCAGGATGCATTTCCATGAGTGTTGGGATGGAGATTTCAGAGAGAGTGAGGGTACAGAGTGAGCAAGTGACCCTGTTCCTTCCCATCTTCTGCTGACCTTTCTTAGTTCCACCTTTTTTTTTCCTAGCACCACCTACTTTTAATTTCTTTCATGAAGGATAACATGACTCATAAAGCATATGATTAGTTTATTATTGTTGTCTTTGGTTTACTATTCCTATTGTCATCTGGATGTTTGGTTTAAGGTTTTGTTGTGTTGTTTCTATTGCTTTTGCTAAGAAAGCCCATGGAAAATCAACCAGCACAATAAACACTCTAGATAGGGCTGTCTGCTATCACTTTTCTAGCTCTTGAAAGCAGGATTCTACCCTCCACGCCAGCTTTCTGTCTTTTTGAAAGTCTTCTGAGTTTGTCATTTCCTTTAGGCTATCAGAACATTAATTAGTATCGCTTCAGTGAGGTCTCAGCACCACTTGCCCTGTAGCCCAAGGTGAATTGGAACTTGCAATCCTCCTGACTCAGTCTCCTGAGGGCAGGGATTTTAGGCATTCACTACCATGCCAAGTTTGCTTACTGGCTTGTGTTTGATGCAAGGCAGTGGAAAAAATGAGAATACCCAGTTGCAGAGGAATATGCAACTGCATTTCTGTGTTCTGGAGGGTGCTGGTTCTGTGCCCCAGGCGTATTGTTAAGTGCCTGCCTAATAGATGAGGCCTTGGCTTTGTTTACATCCACACTGGTTTCTGAGTTTTTCTAATCAGTTACATGCAGCTGCCACCATTACTAGATACTCCAGTGCTACCCAGTAGAACTTTCTGCAGTGACTGAGATGCTCTAAGGAATTCATTTAATGTGTCACATTGTAAGTTTATAATATTGTCATATATAGTACTGTCTGATTTGCTTTTTTGTTTTATACATATTTCACACATATTCCAGTGATAAATGATAAGGTGATTAGATCACGTTCTTTCCATTTGGAAGTAGGTATTTGGAACGTTTTAAACATGAAGGTCATAGAAATGATATTTAGAGTTATTTGGATTGTTGTGTTTTCTGTTTTGTTTTTGCCACTGGGGTGGTTACATTATATGGTTTTCATCTATGCTACCAGGAGACACCAGAAACTTATTCTTGGACTCCATGCCATGTTCCCATGGCATGTGGCATTACCTTTCTCCTTGAAAATAGTTAGCTGTTGTTTGCTCGTTTCCTGATTGTGTGCATGATGTTAGCCATACCTTTATCCTCAAATCCTAATTGTATAGCAAACCACATTTTAGTTGTTCAGTAGTAGCTACGTGTGGCAGGTAGCCACCAAATAGAACAGCACAGATTTAGAAGATCTGAGTGACATTGCTAACCACTGCTGAGAGGGCACCCAATGGCTGTTTTCACACACAAGAGCTTTCATGGAAACAGACCAAATGACAAGTCATAACATTCTCAAAACATTGAAATCTCATGGAGTAGAGTCTGTGACTATAGCTAGATTACATTAGAAACAATAAATTACCTAGAAAAACCTATGTATATGGAAACCAAATAATCATACTTGCAGGCTGCAACTGAAGCAATGCTGAGAAGCAAATTTATAACTTCATATTGTTCCATTAAAAAGGGAGGGAGAAGCCAGGTGTAGTGGTGCACACCTTTAATCCCAGCAGAGGCAGACAGAGCTCTGTGAGTTCAAGGCCAGCCTGGTCTACCTAGTGAGTTCCAGGCCAGCTGGGGCTACTGGGAGACCCTGTCTCAAACGCAGAGGGGGGGAGGGGGAGGGGGAGGAAAGGAGGAAAGAAAAGTTCATCTCAGGTTATATAGATGGAGAGCCTGGGAGGGTGAGAGGGAGGGATGGGGAAAGGTTTCTCAGTTACAGTTAGATAAGAGGAAGAAGGTCTGGTCTGTAGTAGAATGACTGTAGATAATTATTTAAGATAGATTTCAAAACCCTAAGAGTTTGAGTGCTTTTTTCATGAAGAACTGATGTTTGAGGAGATAGATACGCCTAACCAGATGTAAATATTACACAGTCCATTTATATATGGAAATCAGCAGATTCTTTGAAATGTTTAATGTGTCAGTTAAATAAATTTCAAGTTAAGAAAACAGAGGAGTAAATTAGTCTAAATTAACATTTTAGGCCAAAAATAAAAGCAAAAAAGCTAAGTGAAGCAGCCAGAGGAGATATAGCGGTAGAAGACTAACAAAGCTAGAACAAGTGAGCTGTAGTGTGACAGCCCTTCATTTTGATAACCTTTACTAAGTGGCTTTTGTAAGCCTGCAATGACTGACAAATTAATGACGTTCTACTTTAACAGTTGTAAGGTCTCAATTTATAGAGGAAAGCGGGATTAAATTAAACTTGCAATTAAGATTAATTTTATAATGGAAGCCTCAACTTTCTTGTGTTCAGATTCACACTAGTGGGCCTGGGCATGATGCACATGTCATCTCTAATCTCAGTAGTGGGGAGGCAGAGGCAGGTGGATCTCTGTGAGTTCAAGGTCAGCCTGGTCTGCATAGTGAGTTCCAGGTCATCCAGAGCTACAAAGTGAGACCTTGTCTGGGGGTTGAGGGGGAGCTGGGTTTGGTGGTGCAGGCCTTTAATCCCAGAACTCCAGTGTAGAGGCAGGTGGATCCAAAAAAACCACACACAGAAAAATCACATTAGTGTTCTGATATACATGTTTGGAAAATATTCTGTGTTGGGATGCAGGGTAGAATCTATAAGCATACTTTATAAAGCCAAGAAATTTAAAGTGGGGAGCTGGAGAGATGGCTCAGCAGTTAAGAGCACTGGCTCTTCTTGCAGAAGACCTGGGTTCGAATTCCAGAACCCACATGGCAGCTAACAACCATCCATTAACTCCAATTCCAGGGGATCCAATGCCATTTTCTGACCTCCGAGGGCATCTAATGACATGGGTGCACTTACATACATGTAGGCAATACACTCATACACATAAAAATGAAAAAAAAAAATTTAAACAAAATTTAAAGTGGACTTTAAACTAGTTTTAATTTGCTTTAAAAATACTTGGTGTTGCATAGCTGTGCGCATTTGCTTTCAGGACAGAGGCATTTCCGCAGGAGTTTACAGGGAATGGAATCAATGTGCTCTCAATGAACTTAAGAACTTAAAGGACATGTAAATACATGGGAATTTTTTTCTTACAGGTTTATTGACAAGAAAGAAAGGTTAAGCCGACTTAAGAGCAAGCAAGAAGAATTTCAGAAAGAGTAAGTTTTTTAGATTTGTTTTAATTCATGGAGGTTATCTATTGCCACTTGGCTTAGTCTGTCACTGTGGTAGAAGATACATGATTGGCTAACCTGTGTAGCAGACAGTCCTTTAAAGTGTAGGAGGAGAGTACCTGAGAGCAGTGAAGCAGGAGAGAATACCAGGTTTCTAGAAAACGCTGGCCCAAGACCTGGGCCCTTTTCTGTAGTAGGCACTCATATTTGGACACATGAGCCACCCTCTGGCCCTACTCACTGATGGGTGGTGGGTAGGTCCACAGCAGTGGGCTTGATGAGACCCAAGTTAGTATTCACACAGGCACCTCTGTGGGGCCTTGATGCTTCCATTTATCTTTCCTCATTGGTAATTGGCAAAGGGCATCTGCCTATATCAAAACTCAGTAGCCAAGATGATAATGTTTTTAGTTTTTTGGATTTTTGGTTCTTTTGAGATAGAGTCTCACTGTGTAGTCCAGACAGGCCTGGAACTATGTAGACCAGACTGGCCTGGAGCTCACAGAGGTCCTTGTGCCTCTGCTTTGGATGCTGGGTTAATAATGCTTTAAGATGTAGATTCTTGGGTTCCCAGTCTCGGATGTTCTGGTGTAGCAGGGCAAGACCAAGTCTTCTCAAACCTGCACAAAAAGGAAGTCTCCCTCCACTGGTGAAAACAGTGCTGTCTGTGCTGGTGATCCCCAGAGTGGGGTCGACACTTTCTGTGAGTTTGCCACGGGCTCCTAACCTGTCCGTGAGCAGAAGAAAATGTTCTAAGGAAATCCTGTGAGTGATGAAAACCTGCCCATATATGTCTGACTTAGCTATTTCTCTATCATACTCCACCACAGAAACCTAATGTTTTTTTCCCCCCCGTGGCACATTTTTTGCCATATGACAAATCTTCAGAATGTTAGCTTGTGCCATTTCTTTAGGAACTAACCACGTATTTTTAAAAATATATTTTATTATTTTTATGTTATATGTATGAGTGTACTGCCTGCATGTATGCGAGTGCACTGTGTTGTGCAATGCCTCAGAGGTCAGAAGAGGGCTTCAGATTCCCCTGGAACTGGAATTAAGGACGGTTCGTAGCCACCATGTTAGTGCTGGTAATCAAGCCCAGGTCCTCTGCAAGAGCAGTCAGTGCTCTTAACCGCTGAGCCATCTCTCCAGCCCCCCATTTTATTTTTAGATTATGAATTACCTTATAGTTAGTATATTTTTTATGACTGGCAAAAGCAATTGATTATGTCTGAAATAAAGGCCAGGGCTGTTAACAGAAGTTAGTTATGGATGTATGCAGAAAGGCTCTTGGTAGTGTTGGAAGTACGAAAAGAAGAGACTAAGGAACTTGGAAACTTAAGTCCCACTGGCATTTCTAGTTATTTCCAAGCACCAGTACTTTAAATAGTTGATCTTAGCCTGGTGTCATTGTATGTACCTATAAACCCAAACTCCAGAAGCTGAGGTGGGAAGAACACTTAAACCCAGGGGTTCAAGACCAGCCTGGGCACACGTATTGAAAACAAAAGAGAAAAAAAAATTGATGAGCTTTACAAAACTTTATTATTTTAAGAGATTAATTCTGTCTCTTTCCCATACAGAGTATTAAAGGCCATGGAAGGAAAACGGCTAACAGATCAGTTGGTAAGTTCAAAGAAGTATTTCAGATAATCTTAATACGTGAAGCTACATGTTTTTAAGTTGGTAAGCTTAAAAAAGTCATTTTTAACTTAAATTTACTTTTCATCACATTTGGCAATTTTTTATTTAAATATATTTGTAGTATGGCCTTCTCATCTAGAGATACAAAACAGGGTATAGGCAGTTATATTATACAATAATCATAAAGGACAAATATATAAATCTGATCTTGGCATAGGAATACAGATCCAAGTGTTCATCTTTTTTGCAAAAATTACTCATAATAAAAACATACTGCAGGTGAATTAATGATTAAGTATAAACTTGTAAAAACTCAATAAATATTTAAAAACTTATACACTCATAAAAATATCAAAAAGAATATATAGGAAAAGTGGGCATACCTGGAATCCCAGCACTTGGCAGGTGGGGATAGGAGGGCCAAGAGCTCAAAGCCCGGGCTCCATGAGATGATGTCACAAAACAAAAAGGAAAGTATTTTGGCATACTAAATAAGTTTCAGAGCTTTGCACATTAAACAAAATTAACAGCTAAACTGGAAAAAAAATGAATACAAATAGGAAAATTAGGGAGTTTGACACCACTTACTGCTTTTATTCCTTGTTGGGAATATCCCGTCAACACATATGATTTGGGGACAGTCTGGTGGTGGTGGTGGTTTCTAAAGGCACATGTAGTATCTAGCAGTTTTCCTTCTAAGAAATGCACACAAACGCAGAAATTTATGGGTAGAAAAGCTTAATGCTACTGGTAAAGTTAATATATAAATACTCTGGATGTCAGGAGGAGATAAAAAAATTTATAGTACTGTGTAGCTTTTTTTTTTTTTCTTTTTGAGACAGGATCTTTAGCCCTAACTGGCCTGGAACTTGTTTATGTAGAACAGGCTGGCCTCCATCTCTCATAGATCCACCTGCCTCTGCCTCTACCTCCCGAGTGCTGGGATTAAAGGTATGTACCACTACATCTAGCTGTATAGCTACCTTTATATTCATATATTGAAATGTCACACTGAACCTATTAAAGTGTACAGGTACTATGTCAATTTAATTTAATGATGTAAATTATGTGGTCAGTATACATGAATCCATAAGGAAAGATATCTGAAATACAATTTACGAGACTGACGCCTTACCACTTGGCCACCACACCATTGAGATACAATTTTTAAAATATATTCATTTTTATTTTATGTGTATTAGTATATTACCTGCATGTACGTAAGTGCACCCTTGTTGTGTAATGTCCAAGGAGGTCAGAAGAGAGTGTCGGATCCTCTAGGACTGGAATTAAGAATGGTCGTTAGCTGCCATGTGGGTGCTGGGAATCAAACCTGGTCCCTCTGCAAGAGCAGTCAGTGCTCTTAACCACTAAACCATCTCTCCAGCCCCATGAGATACAATTTTTAATGGTGAAAAAAAAAAAGGGTGAGGTTGCATGTTTCTATTTGTGTATATATTTAATACACTCAAAAAATAATCTGACATCAGACTACCTTTGTGTAGCTCAGTGGAGGATTGCATACTAAACATACACATGGCCCTGAGCCCCATGCCCAGCCCTGTGAGCATTCCAAGTGCATGCATGTGCACACACAGAGGTTACAACCCCTGATGAGCGAGAAGGAGTCATTCTAATAGTCTTCACATTTTTCCTGCAGTGTCTAATTTTTTTTTAAAGTAAGCATCATGTATAATTTTTATGACACTTAATATTATAGAAGCAAATTATTCTGTGAATATTATATATGTTATGTTCTTTTTTTTTTTTTGGTAGACTCTTTAGACTGGTTTACTGACATAAAACTAAATAAAACCCCAAACTCCTATATTGATACTTAAAGATCTTTGGAGATCTTTAAAAGTGACAACATTCCTTTTTTTCCTGCCCTGATCCTGTAAGACCCTGTAAGTCTCTCTGAAATATTTCTTTGGTCCAGGAGAGGTTAGTCGGTGTCCTGTCTCGTCCGGTCCTGTCCCGTCGTGTGTCACTCCCCCCATCCTCCCGTTACATTCTCCATCTCTTCTGAATCTGGTGTCATTACTGCTTCTGTAAGTGTTAGCATTGTAAATATTTGAGTTGTTGTAGGTTTTAATTTATCCACAATTATGGAGACAGTAGAAATAACCACGTAGGTCCTGTTTCTGTTGGTGCTTTGTTCACTTTAGGGGCAGCAGGACCTGGCGGTACCATTCCTGGTACTGTGAGGAGACAATTTCACGTTTCATATATTTTTCTGAGGCATTTCAAAAGATCTTATTCGCATTATTCACTTAAAAACTTTGTTGCAGTTTTGCTGCTGTGTAAGTAATGTTTGTTTATTAGGTGTTAGGATCAAAGGTGTACATCACCATGCCTGACCTTCAGTAGGTTTTTGGTTTTTGTAATGGTACAAATGCCTTTTTGACATGTGTAGTATAGGAAACTGAATCTTTATGTTATGTCATTTTAATTGTGTTTTTGGTTTTTGATGGTTGGTTTGTTTGAAACAGAGTTCCCTATAGCCCAGGCTCGCCTTGACATCCTGAACCTTCTGTCTTCTACTCCCAAGTGCTAGGATTCCAGTTGTATGCCACCACACCCAGCTTTTAATTGACTTTTAAATAGCCACATATGGCTGGTCAGTAGTTATATACTGTGCAGTGCAAGTTTAGAGAATGTCTTAGCATTTTTCCCTGTGTTCTATCCCATGGAAAGAACTACATATAGTGTTTCTTTCTCCCTTAATTTCCTAGTAGGTTCTGTATTGAACCAGAAAAATGTTTTTGTTTTGTAAATCCACCATAGTTACAACAGCTATATTAACTGTAATGCGATAAATAGCTCGTTCTTCATTTTTTTCTAAGATATCCTGAAAATGAACAGTAATCCCAGGCAGATAATCCCAGGAGACTAATGTTTCTGATATTTGTTGCATACCTTTTTTTTTTAAGAGATGGAAAATAATGTCCTGCAAGATGAGGATTGAACAATTGAAACAAACAATCTATAAAGGAAATGAGGAAATGAAGAAAAGTAAGTAATTGCCCCTTCCCTCCAGCCCCTGTAAAAGACTCGTGAGGAATTTCATGAAATTAGTAAACTAGGGGAATTGTGAAAGAGAGGTAGACCTGGGTTTTATATTAGTTAACTTTCTTACTGTTGTGGCAAAATAACCTGAGGAAAAAAAAGCAACGTAAGTAAGGAAGGGTTTATTCTGGTTCACGGTTCAAGGAGCAGTCCAGCAGGGCAGGGAAGCCATGGCAGCAGGAGCCTGAGGCAGCAGCTCACATTGCATCCCATCAGGAAGCAGAGAGGGATGAATGCTGGTGCTCAGCTAGCATTCCGTGCATCTGGACCCCAGTTCATGGCATGGTGCCACCTCCATGTAGGATGACTCTTCTCACCTCCATTAACCCAGTATAGAAAACCCCTCACAGATATACTCAGAGGTTTGTCTCCCAGTGATTCTTTTTTTTATGTTTTATTTATTATTTTAAATTTTTTTGTGTATTGCCTGAATGTATATAAGTGCACCTGTGTCGTGCAATGCCTGTGGAGGTCAGAAGGAGGGCATCAAATTCTCCTGGAACTGGAGTTACAGACAGTTGTTAGCTGCCATGTGGGTGCTGGGAATTGAACCTGGGTCCTCTGCAAGAGCAGTCAGTACTCTTAACCACTGAGCCATTTTTCTAGCCCCTCTCCTAGTGATTCTTGATCCAGTAACATTAACAGTATTACCCATCCCAGGGGCATTAGTGACTTGGAAAAGTTTTCTATGGGTTGAAAGTCTCAAAGCCATGATCTGAAATGCTTGGAACCAGAAGTGTTTTAGATTTTGAAATATTTGCACATACATAATGAACTATCTTTGTGTTGGGACCCACCTAAACATGAAATTCATTTGTGTTTCATATGCACCTTATACATGTAGCCTGGAGGTAATTTTATACAGTATTTTTTAGTTTGCCTGCATTTTGATTTTGATGTCAGTTCAAGTATGGAATTAAAATTGTCACATGTCAGCACTCAGGGTTCTGGATTTTGGAGCATTTTGGTTATTGGATTTATTTATTCATTGAGAGAAGGTCTTGCTTTGTAGCCCAGGCTAGCCTCATACTCACAAACCTCCTATCTCCTCCTCAGGAGTGCTGGGATTACAGGTGCATCCTCCATGCACAGTGTCTTATCAGGGATGTGGAACTTCTGCTTGCCTTCTCTCCTTATGGAATGTTTCTTTATGGAATTTATAAAAGCAATTACAGATGCCTTTAGTGACTTACAGTCTTAATTAAAAAAGGAAGGGCTCTGGGTGTAGTTCAGTTTAGAGCTTTAAGTATCTGGGGCCCTTGGTTTGATCACTAATACCATAAATGCTGTAACTTTAATAAGAACTGAAGAATATTCGCTCTTTTGCCTTAGCTAACAGTAAGGGCAGAGTCTTACTTGGGACTCACTTGTAATAGTTCATGCAGAAGCATAAAATAATGCCTCCTCTCCCCTAGAATTATGTATATTAATACATTTAATCTACATTTAACATTACATTTAAATACTTCCTATGTTAGCATTGGTGGTTGCCTACTTTTACGTCCTTTAGAAATCTTACATCCTTAGAAGCATGTATTTCTAAAGATTTTGCTTTGTTTGATTGTATTTTTAATCTTTTGAGACAGGATCTCTCTGTAGCTCCAGCTGACTCGAACTCACTATGTAGACCAGGCTGGCCTCAGTCTCATAGAGATCTACCTGTCTCTACTCCCAAGTGCTGGGATTAAAGGCACGTACCACCATGCCTGGCTATATTTCTGAAGATTAGTGTTTAAAGTTTAGAGTCACCATTATGCTTCGTGAATCTTTCTGTTGCTTTCAGAAACAGGTATTTTTATAGTGGCATGTAATGATATAAAAGTTTCTTTTCACGTTTACTCTCATGCAGTGCCTGTGTGGAGTGGCACAGGATGGATAAGCTAGAGCAGCAGGGTAGCACGGTACACAGGTGCTGGGAGCTACAAGCAGATGTGGTCCCCTGAGTTTTGCTTGTACTCTACAAGGCTTAGATTCAGTACAGGATGAGACGTTGTTACTTAGCATTGGTTCACCCTCTTCCCCCATCCTCCCACTATTTTCAGGCAGGTGTACGTGAACCTCCTGAAGTTGCAGAATGTACCATGCTTGTACATGCATTAAGTTTTCATCAGCTCTTTAACAGGTTCCTAAAGTCCAAAACTAAAGCAATTCCAGGAATCAAAAAAAAAGACCTTAAAGCAGTAGACTCTGTAGCAAATTGTCCTAGTTTGTTTCTCCATTGCTGTAACAAAACACTCTGACCACTACCAACTTGGGGAGGAAAGGGTTTATTTATCTTACATCTCCCACGTCACAGTTCATCAGGGAGCCCAGGGCAAGAATCTGGAGGCAGGAGCTGGAGCACAGGCCATGGAGGAACACTGCTTACTGGCTTGTTCCCCTGGCCCATGCTCAGCCTGCTTTCTTATGCAACACAGGCCCACCTGCCCAGGGATGGCACCACCCACAGTAAGCTGGGCCCTCCCACATCACTCAATCAAGAGGATGCCTCACAGACATGGCCACAGGCCAGTCCTATGGAGGCAATTCCCCAGTTGAGGCTTCCTCAACCCAGGTGTGTCAAGTTGACACTAAAGCTATCTAGCACACAAATCATCAAAGTGACCTGGGGACTATTTGAAAATCCAAGGCAGAAAAGTCTGGAGTCCACCCTAGGCGTATGGTAGCAGCATAATACTCTGTTGAAGAAAATGTTTCTACATGCTTACTGTGGATTTCTGTACTGCTATCATGACCAGTAGCAGTTTGTATACCAGCCCAAATCCACAGCTTTCACTTCGGGCAGCACTGCTCTGGGTGGTTCTGACCTGCCAGAGTTGGCAACTACTGCTTGATAGAAGGTGACTAGCCTCATGCCCCCTAGACCAGACTCAGCATCACTTTGCAGGGTTTTTAAAAAGAGTTAATGAATCCTAGAAGTGATGCATGTACTCAGGCTCACAGATTGAGCTCACTACCCAGAAGTCTTTTTTTAAACTGTGTTGTTTAAAGATGCCCTGTGTGCTCAGGAAAGGGCACAGATTATAAACTGTAGAGCCTGGTGAATTACTTCTTGAGCACCTTTTGATGGCTCCATGGTTAAGAGCACTGGCCACTCTTGGAGAGGACCCAGGTTCGATTCCCAGCACCCACATGGTGGCTAACAACCATCTGTAACTCCAGTTCCAGAGGATCCAGTGCCCTTTTCTGACCTCCAAGGGCATTGCATGACACGGGTGCACTTATATACATGCAGGAAATACACACACATACACACAAATAATAAAATTTAAAAAAATGTACTTACGGGGTTGAGTTGCTCTGACTCCAGAGTAGATTTCAGAAGTAGCTTTGGTGTTTTGGAGGCGATAACAGGCCAACTCTGAGGACACCTCTGAGTTCCAAAAACAGCACTGGTTACAGATAAGACGACTGACGTTCCAGACACCTGTGCAAGAGTTATGACATTGGATTTTCTGTTCTTAAAGTCTGACTCAGGACCATGCCTGGACATGAGTCACTTCTTGTGAGTACCTGCCAAGGGATCAGTAGAGATCTGGAAATGGAAGCACTCGCTGTAATGTAAGCTTGTGATGGCACCAAGTTCCTGAACCTTTAGGACATTCACATGGAGTAGGTGTGTCTAAGGGGACACAGAACTGAAAAAGCTCCTTCCCTGCACTAAGTCACAAAGCTCAGTACCTCAGAAAGGACTGGCTTTGTCCACAGGGGTTTATCATGGTCAGAGGTTCTGAGAAAAGGAGCATTTATGGAGCTGTGCTAGAGAAATGCTGGAAATTGGGGAAAGTAAGAGCAAATGAAGAACATTCCCAGATACAACTTTGTTTTTAAACTATGAATGATTATTTAGTCATTTGTGTTTCCACTGGAAACTTTGGAAATTCGGATTTCGTATCCTTATCCATGAGCTTGGACACAGTAGAAAAAGTCTGAGCATAGTGCTACACGTTGTTCCGCTGTGCTTTTAGACACTGCTTTTGTCAGCATTGTGGGGTGAGTGGTGGAAGGCTGGTGATTACTTCAGTATTCAGCCAGCCAGTCCCTGGTTGACGTAAGTGGGTCTCTGCAGAAAGGCTCTGAAGAGTGACAGCACTGGATGTGACTAGTCTGTACGGGAACTCTGGCTGGGTCACTTTGGAGGTGCCTTTGAGGTTAAAAAATTTGGTCTGTCATTTCTAAAGACTGAGCAAGGGCCAGGTATGGTAACACACTGTAGTTGCAGCACTACGGAGCCTGAGGCAAGAGGATCTCCATGAGTTCAAGGCCAGCCTGGACTACATAGCAAAAACCTGTCTCCAAAAAGAAAGAAAGAGTAAGTGAAAGAGGTTGGAGCTGAGCTTCACTAGAGCTGGGCAGTTAACTAGAAGTGAGAGTAGCATAAGCAAAGTCCTACAGAGCACTGAGACCAGCTAATGAACTGACCGAAGGGGCCACGTAGTGCACAGCTGATAAAGTAATGGTGAGTAGGGAAACATTTCAAATGTATTAAGAGGAGGCTTTCTTGGAAAAATCATGAGCTTGGTTTTGACTTTGAGTATGTAATTCCTGAGCTCTTAGAGCCCATAAGTTGTTTTGAGACTCAAATGAAGTTTAACTTCAGCATAACAACCCCAGCAGGCCTTAAACTCCAGAACCCAAAGGAGTTCCACAAGGAGGGCCTCAGTGGGTAGGCTGTGTTCTGGCTCCTCTCCTGGTCTTGTGGCCATTTTCCTTTGCTGCATGTCCATCTGCTGGGGATTATCCCTGGGTTTCCTGGTGTGGCCCAAGGCATACCTGAGAAACTTGTGAGAAAAAAAAATCAGATAGCTATACTTGAATTAGATGTCTTTCTGACTATTTTTGAGTACTTACTATAAGAAGGTTAGACACCTTCCATGCTAAACAACCCCAGTACCCTGAGTGACCTGGACTAATGATTACTGAGAGATCCAGTTGGTTTAGTATCGATCCTCAGAGTGTACAGCCTGCTAGAACAAAATTTCAGAACTTGAACTTGCTGAAAAGCTGTCAGTTTGTTGAGGTTTCTGAGTGGAAAGGAACAGCTGTGGGTAGGCCTCTGCAGTGCCCAGGAACTGCGTGAGGAGACAGTTGCTCATGGGATTTGTTTTATTTATCGTAGATTCTGAAGGCCTACTCAAAAGCAAGGAAAAGAACCAGAAGCTCTACAGCCGAGCACAGCGGCACCAGGAAAAAAAGGAGAAGATTCAGAAGCACAATCGCAAACTCGGGGACCTGGTAGAAAAGAAGACCACTGACTTGCAAAATCACTATGAGCGACTGGCGCGCCTTCGGCGATCGCGCATATTAGAGCTCACCTCGGTCATTTTCCCCATCGATGAAGTAAAGACTGCGGTGAGGTACAGTGAGCAAGGCTTTGGCCTTTCAGAAGAGAGCACATTCTGAGTGCTCTTTCTAGTATGTCTGCGCCTTATTTATTGGGACTCGTTCCGGGGTCATTGCTTTTCCTGGTAATGAAACCTGAGTCTTATCTGCGTCAGCAAATACTGCACGGAGCTGTGGAGACGGGTGGGTGGAGGGGCGCGGCCTCCCTGTGTACTGTTACACAGCTCCAGGTTATAACGTGCTGACTCACTCTCCTGGCCAAGCGCCTTCTGTTGGGTTATGTCATCACAGTGCTCCATGTCATTTCTTAGTTGTGTGCTGTGAGACACATTCTTGAACCTACAAACCTGATTTCCTTGTGTGTTAGTGGAGATTGAAAAACGTCTACAGCATCAGCTAGTGTGTAAGAATAGACCTACTACCTAGAATCTCTTACATGTTGACTTAGCCTTTTCCTGGTAACTGGCATTTATTGTATTAGCTGCTATTGAGGCTGTGTACTGTGATTTTTAGTAGTAGGCACTAGTGCAAGGTGACCCTAAGGAATTTAGGGGGAGAAGGCAGTGGTTCCCCACCAGGCTGTTTGTCATAGTCATTTGGGGTGCTTTTGAGAAAGTTTTAGCTGGGCCTGGTGGCACACTTCTGTAGTCCGAGGACTTGGGAGGCTAAAGCAGGAGGATCATAACGTGAAGGCCAGCCTGAGCAACTTCATGAGATCCTGTCTCAAAATAAAAAGAGGACTTGGAGTGTAGCTCAGCTTTTACCTAGCATGTATGAACCCCTAGTAGGTTCACTCTCTAGTGCTACAAAAACAAAAAGAAGAAAGGCTCTGGAGGGGACACTCCAGCCTCTCACGCCCTCTTTTTGTGCTCTCTGGCTGCAGCTGCCACCAGCAGGTGTGAAACCCACCACCCAGGTTATGCACTCTCACCCCCTGGCTGCCCCAGCCGAGGGCTTCTGTCTGTTCTGGCTCTCACTACACTCTGCCTGGAATGGACAGTGGAGGACTACTAGTAGTCATTCTTTCTTACCCCCACCCCCATCTAGTCTTTGGTGTGTTGAGGGATTTGGCTTCCTAAAGGTTTTAAAGGTCTGAGCTTTGCTTTTGGCTTGAAGACCTGCTCCCTGAGTCTTGTCAAGTAATTTTTCTTTAGTAAGGAAGAGGTGGCTGAACTACACCTGGTGGCACAGACTTGTGACCCCAGCTACTTGGGAGGCTGACACAGGTAGATGTCAACTTCAAGGCCAGCTTGAGAAACTTACCGAGACTTTATCTCAAAAAGTGAAAAAGGCCAGGATATTTCTTAGTGGTAGAGCCCTTCAGCAGGATGCAGAAGACCGTAGATCCAACCCCCAGCACTGATAGATAAAAAGTTCAGAAACAAATTCTTAGGGGAGTATTTTGGATCAGTAAGGAAAAGTTAAATTATCTAGAAATTGGTCTAAAGACAGCTAGTCAGGTCTTTGAGAGAGTGAAGCTGGTGAAATGGAAGCCTTGCGCCAAATTAAATTCTGAGGGATCAACCAATACCTGAATGCGTTGTGATCCTGAATGCATTGTGGGTGTGAAAAGGACATCAGCAGGGTATTTGGAACTATGTAGTTGAAAAGGGTCTATATCAGAGTAGCTGGACATGATGGCTCATTGTCTGTCATTCCAGCTCTTGATCAGGAGTTCAAATCAGCTTCTGCTACATAGCAGGTTGAAGACTAGCCTGGGATAGGTGAGACCCTGTCCCCCCCACAATTTTAAAAATACCAGAGTGATTCTTTTGTTGTTATGTTTTGTTTGTTTTGCTTTTTTGTGGGGGGGGGTGGGTATTGAACCCGGGGCCTCCTGATTTTGATCATTGCATTTTCCTAAATTGATAATTTGAGTGAAACTTTAAAACATTTGCAATTTTTCCATAAGGCTGAATTTTTTCAGAAAGAAAATATGTACCCATGTAGTCCTGTGGCACATAGAGACTTTTCGGTCAACAATAGACCATGTGTACATGTAGGCCATGTACTGTGCTATGTAGGGATGTTGGTTTCATATGAGTGAATGTGCTCTGCTGTTTGCACAGTGATAACTTGCCCAGCCATGTGTTCTCAGAATTCCCCTGTGTTGAGACATGGCTGTATGCATATGTGTACTAGAAGGCATGAAGAAAAAAATGCTCTCTTCCATGCTTATGCTGGTTTGTCATCTTTTTCCCACTTTGTATTATGTGTATACTAGTACCTTTTAAAACTCAGGCGGCTTTGAAGCTACCTCCATGGTAAGATTTCCTATTCATTTGCAGAGATCCTGCAGATGTGTCTTCGGAGAGTGACAGTGCCATGACCTCAAGCATGGTGAGCAAGCTTGCTGAGGCCCGGAGAACAACTTACCTCTCTGGAAGATGGGTCTGCGATGACCACAATGGCGACACCAGCATTAGTATTACAGGGCCTTGGATTAGCCTCCCAAACAATGGAGACTACTCTGCCTACTATAGTTGGGTGGAAGAGAAGAAAACGACACAGGGGCCTGGTGAGAAGCCCATTGCTTTTTCTTTCTTTCCTTTTTTGAGACAGGGTCTCCAGCTGGCCTGGAACTTGCTATGTAGACCAGGCTGGTCTCGATCTCACAGAAATCCACCTGTCTCTTTGCCTCCTGAGTACTGGGATTAAAGGTGTGTGCCACCACATCTGGCTGATATTCTTTGAAAGTGTGTGTGTGTGTGTGTGTGTGCGCACTGTAGGTGAGGTAAAATTTACATGATGAAGTGAACGTTGGAGTGAACAGTTTAGTGGGTCACAGTATTCTGCAGGTACAAACTCTGGGTAGTTCTAAAACATGTTCATCACCCCAGATGGAAACCGCACAGCAATAAAATGTCACATTTTCTTTTCCTCATCTCCTAACTCTAGGCAGTCAGTGTGCTCTCTATCTGTAGATTGTCTCTTCTAGACAGCTCGAATGAAATCATGCCATGTGTGGTTTCTTTGTGTGTTTCCTTCTTTCATCTAGCATTCTTTTACAGGGTTCACATTATGGCATGTATTAGAACACTATCACTTTTTATGACTGAATAATATTCCATTATATGGATATGTACCTCATTTTGTATATCCATTCATCACTTGATGGATTGAAAACCTCTTTAGATAGTTCACCTTTGGGGATTAATATTACTTAATTTATATAAAAAGACATTATTAGACCTGCTCTGGTAACATGTGGCTGTTATCTAGCATTTGAAAGGCTAAGTCAGGAGAGGTACCCTGAGTTAAAAGCCAGCTTGGGCTACATAGCTAGATCTTATTATGCACAGTGTTAAGTGCCAACTGAAGTTGACTGAGATAGGCAGGTGGCCTTTTGGCCTTCCTTGGAGAAATGGGTGGTGTCCTAGTTTCATTTCTGTTATTATAAAATGCCCTGACAAGAAGCAACTTAGGGGAGAAAGGGCTTACTTTACCTCACAGTTCCAGGTCACAGTTATCACTGGGGAAGTCAAGACAGGAACTTGAACTTGTCCACAGTCCACAGAGAGAGAACAAATGCATGCATGCTTCTAGTGCGTGGCTCACTTTCTGTAGTATAGCCCAGCCCAAGCCCAGGGAATGGCACCACCCACAGTGGCCTACGTTTTCTCAAATCAGTTACATAGTCAAGACACCCCCTCCCCCACCAACATGCCCACAGACAGGCCTCTCTGATCTAGACAGTCACTTTTGAGACTCTTCCCTAGGTTGTATTAAGTTCACAAAACTATTGATCACAGGCCATGAATCAGTGATCAGAGGCACTGTGCACTGTGTTGGTGCTGTGGGAAGGGCCAGCAGATCTTCAAGTGAGGCAGGTATGCAAAGGAAGGGGCAACTTTGAGTTGGATTCTGAGGTGACATTTGTGTTGGGCATTAATGAATATTCTTTTCAGTGCCCCACAAGCTATATCTCAGCCCTTGGTGGTTGTTGGTTTGTTTGTTTGTTTGTTTTGTTTTTTAACACAAGGTCTCCCTGTAGCCCCAGCTGGCCTGAAGCTCACTATGTAGACTAGGCTGGCCTTGAATTCACAGAGATCCACCTGCCTCTGCCTCCCAAGTGCTGGGATTAAAGGCATGTGCCACCATGCTGGTGGTGGTGGTTGTTTTTAAGATTTATTTTTATTTTTAATTATGTGTTTCTGTATGAGTACATGCACATATATGTGGGAACCTCAGATTCCCTTGGAGTTAGGAGTGACAGGCAGTTGTGAGCTCCTAATGTGAGTGCTGGGAACAGAATGTGGGTCCTCTGGAAGAGCAGCAAGTGCTCTTAACCACTGAGCTGTCTCTAGCATCCTGGCCCTTGTTTTTTGTAAAGAGTCTTAGACTGGCCTAAGACTCCTGATTCTCCTGTCTCAGCCTCCCAAGTTGGGCTAAGTTGGGCATTATTTTGGTGATACATTATCAGACCCAAGTAATCTAAACTTTAATTTCATTCATGTTTGGCCTATTTCGGCTCATTTACGTATGTTACATTCCACTCAGCACAAACAGTGGACCCTTTATGTCCCACCATGCAGTAAGGAGTAAAACTTAATCATTAATAATGTAATGAGAGGTTAAAATCTCAGCTCCAGGATCTTTTTGCTGGTTAGAGGTACTTTGTATGTGACTGTTGTGTTCACTCTTCAGATATGGAACATAACAACCCTGCCTACACCATCAGCGCCGCACTGTGCTATGCCACGCAGCTGGTCAACATTTTGTCTCATATACTTGATGTCAATCTTCCCAAAAAACTGTGCAACAGGCAAGTAATTGAGGTGGTGATGTCATCTTTATCAAGTTTCTGTTGTGCTCTGATGCCAGTTAAGTGAAAAACATATTTCAGTATTATCAGGCCAGAAAAGGTTAGACAGAAATACTAAGATTAACTTCAAAAGATGCTACCAATTTCCTTATATTACAGTCATATTATGAAATCTAAGAAGACCACAGAGAATCCATTCTGATTTTTGGGAAAATAATAAAAGGAAAAATCAGGATTTGCTGATAATGCTGCAGATCCTCCTGTACTAGAACTAAGTGAATTTACAGTTGGGTTCTTTGTTTTGTTATAAAAACCTCATGTTTAACATTTTAAAGATATAGTCTAGCCAGTGCACATTGACCTTCCTGTCACCCTCCAGTTATCCTTGCATTCCCAGCAGATGTAGAGCTCTGATCATCCTAAACATAAAACAGTAGTTTGCCATTCCTTTTTGTTTGTTTTGTTTGAGTGTAGCCCCAGCTGGCCTGGCACTTGCTATATAGACACAACTGCTCTCCATCTCACAGAGATCCGCCTGCCTCTGCTTCCTCTGTGCTGGGATTAAAGGTGCATGCTTGGCTGGCTCTGCTCCTCTCCTCTCCCCTCCCCTCCCCTCTTCTCCTCTTCTCTTCTTTTCTTGCAGGGTCTTATTATATAGATTGGCATGGCCTGGAACTCACAATCCTCCTGCTTCAGCATTCTGATTGCATAGGACCACCTCCTACTTTTTTAGACCTTACCTTTTAATGGCGGGCACAAGTAATAAACAGATAACCAGAATTCGTGAGTTGGTGATAAGCGCTGTGGAGATCATTGAAACAGGTGGCTGGCTGCAGGAAAGGGCATGCATTTTTGTTCTGTTTTGTTTTGTTTTTTATTTTTGGTCTTTTAGAGACAGGATCCCCCTGTAGTCCCAGCTAGCCTGGAACTCACTATGTAGACCAGGCAGATGATCTGCCTGCCTCTGCCTCCCAACTGCTGGGATTAAAGGCCTGGGCTACCAGGCTTGTTTTGTTTTTATGGTAATGGAGATTGAATCCAGGGCCTTATACAAGCAAGTGTCCTACCCCTGAGCTTTATACCCAACTCAGGACAGGAAATGGGTGAGCAAGCTATGAAAGGGGGCCCCAAGGAAAGCAGCTGCAGGCAGAGAGAATGGGATAAAGTCTTGGGAAGCTGGAAAGGTAGAACGCTAATGTTGTGCCCTGTGGACCCCTAGTTAGCCTCCAGCTGTCCTTTGCACAAAGTGAGCAGTTGTGGAGTTTTCCTTTCCCTATATGTACTAGTGCCGTGTTGATGCTTCAGAAAATGCCCTGGACACTTCTCACTTCCATTGCATTTACTGTTTGTGTAGAATGAGCTCCTGAAGTAGAGCTGCGAATCTTGCTGATGCAGTGAGGCTGCTGTCCATGAGGGTATTTTTGTCAGGGTCTGTTTACTAAAGAGGCAGAAGGGCTGTAGTATAAGACATAACCTTCTGCTGGGCATGGTGGCACATGCCTTTAATCCCAGCACTCGGGAGGCAAAGGCAGGCAGATCTCTGTGAGTTCAAGGCCAGCCTGGTCCTCATAGTGAGTTCCAGGACAGCTGGGGCTACAGGGAGACCCTGTCTCAAAAAGACTGAGAAAAAAAAAAAAAAAAAAAAAAAAAGACATAACCTCCAAATGAACATTTTTTTTTAACTTAGAATTTCTTCGAAAGAAATCTTAGAAATTGTATATTTGTTTTTCAGCGAGTTTTGTGGAGAAAATCTCAGCAAACAGAAATTTACTCGAGCAGTGAAGAAACTGAACACAAACATCCTTTACCTTTGCTTTTCTCAGGTAGGGGACACATACCATGCTGTGAAGTGATTTTTAACTTGTGTTTTTGAAAATACTAATGAGACCTTTGCTTTTTCTAGCATGTAAATTTAGATCAGTTACAACCACTGCACACTCTCAGGAATCTAATGTACCTGGTCAGTTCGAGCTCTGAGCACCTGGGCAGGTAAGATGGCTGTGTGTTGGTTGCTCCTCTCCAGGTGTTTCTGTGGTTTTTTTCTTTTTTTAATTGAACATTTCATACATGTATATAATGTGCTTTGATCAAACCCATCCCCGTTTCCTTCAGCTCTTCCCCTATCCCCTACCACTTTTCCCTCTCAACTTTATGTACTTTTCTTTTTAAAAAAAAATTTTTTTTTGAGATAGGGTCTCCCGGTAGCCCCAGCTGGCCTGGAACTCACTATGTAGACCAGGATAGCCTCAAACTCACAGAGATCCACCTGCCTCTGTCTCCCGAGTGCTGGGATTAAAAGCAAATGCTCCACCATACCTGGCTGTGCTTTCTCTCTTTTTTTTTTTTTTTAAAAAAAAAAAGATTGAGTCCACTTACTGTGCCCTATGTACATGGCTATAGGACCATCTACTGGAACACATGTAGCCTCTCAGGGGCTGCATCCCTGAAGAAAACTCATTCTCCCTCCCCCAGCAGCCATCAGTGGCCAGTAGCTTTTCAATTATGGGTAAGACTTCGTGAGCCCTTCCCTGTCCATGTTGGGAATTTGACTAGTTTGATCTTGGGCATGCAGTCACAGCCACTGTGAGTCCGTATGTGCACCAGACCTGTCATGGCTGGAAAGCACTGTTCACAGCTGTTCTCCACTACTCTGGCTCTTACAGTCTTTCTGCCCCCTCTTCTTCAATGATCTCTGAGTTTTAGAGGGAGAAGCTATGGTACAGCTGTCTCTTTTAGAGACTGTCTCTTTTAGAGACTGCACACTGACCAGTTCTTTGTGGCTGCTTTTAGGTGGAGTTAGGATGGTTACTGAACCATCTTGCCAGCCCATGATGTGTTTCTTTGAAGGGCTTTAAGTTTCCTATGAACCTCCGTTAAGCCACAGCTTCTGTAGAATCTACCCTGCAGAGGGGCATGGACAAGCTGACTAGTCACATCTGAGTTCATGGTTTGTGAGCCACAGAGCAGGATGTAGAGGTTCAGAAGCCCCCCTTTCACAGCTGCTTCAATCACAATCAAGGCATACAGATTATGAATGCTGCTATTCAGGTCAACAGAGCTGAGGACCCTCTTCTGAATGCAAGATAAATTGATATAGAAAAAAATGCAAAACAAGAAAGAAAAAGCACTGAATCTATATGCCCTTTACCTAAAGTCACCTGTTATTAATATTTGTAGTCTGCCTCTCTGTCTCGTCTCCCTCTAAATGCATACACATACCTATAATCCACATGGATCCCCACCCCCAAACCTATGAGGATAAAGTAGACACTTCATGACTGTCTATTTCCTGAAGGTGGGGATGTTTTCTTTCTTACCCACAATGCAGCTGTCAGCCCCAGCAGATTTCACATTGACACTTTACTGCCTCTTCATGGTTTTCAGCGAACCAGATGTCCTGTGCAGCCTATCCTCTCTGGTAGGAACCCAGAGTCAGGCAATACATTAGTTACTTGAGCCCTTCACCCTTCTTTAGGTCTGGGGTTTGCCACGATCCTTATGTTATTTTCAGTGCTAAAGTGTAAAGCTCAGATCCATATCTTGTAATAGAACTTTCATTTGGGGTTTTTCTGATGTCTCAGAAATTAAATTATTACATTAAATTCAGCCTGTGCACTGGAGGCTAGAACACTGGCCTGGGCAGGTGTCTCCATCCTGACATCTTCTTGCTTTGTCAGGGATCTTAGTAGATCCCTAGTCGAGAGGATTTCCAGATCCCCACTGTGTAGTTCCTAGGGAGACACTTTTCAGCCATTCTCCATGGAATTTCCTCCTGGATTTATTGTCTGTTGGTGGTTCCTATCTGATACAGACTTTTCTAAGATGTCGCCTACCTTAATACAATGTTATCTCCAAATACGATGTTTTACAAAAGGGACTTTGTTTTAAATAAAACCAAAAGGATGATTTTGTTGCTTTAGTTGATAGATGAACTCACTACAGCATGGTGAGAAATGAGGTTTTGAATAAAAGTTATCAGTTATTCAGCTAAGCTAAAAGTTAGATAAACAATTTTCTAATCTTTATTTCCTAAGCCGTTATATTCAGTCTGTGCACTGGAAAAGAGATGAGTTCTTTGTCTCTGGTTAATTCTGTGTTTTATCTGACCAGCTCAGGGTATGCCAGACTGGTACTATTTCAGTGACTTAGAAGTGATAGGAGAGAGGCATTGGGTGGACATCCCACAGGCCTCCTAGAGAGGGCTTTCCTGCCTGTGGCTTCTCAGAACACAGATTACCCAGTGAAACCAGTGCTGTTCCAACTGGCTGCTTTAGAAATCCTCCATTTGTTTTTCACCTTAAGTCTGTAATTGAACACTTGCTCCTCGCCAAGTGGACCCTGCTGTGTAGGATTCCAAGCAGAGAACTGTAGTCCAATGAGGCTTCCTGGGGGGATCTCTGCCAGAAAGAAGGGCTGCTCCTCTCTCATGTCACCACTGTGGGAATCTGAGAGAACATGAGGAGTCAGTGAGGCAGTGTGGAGAAGAACTGGAAGTCCAGCCGAGTCTCCAGTGCTGGCAGGCAGGAAGGAGGCAGCATGAAAGAAGACTGCGAGGGAGCCTGGGGGCATCAGAGTCTTTCCCCCGGCAGCTGACTGGGTCCTCTTGGGCAGGAAAGCTAATCACCTAATGACCAGCATTATTAGTAGGCAGATGCCCTTTGGAGAAAGAAGCAGAATTCCAAAATGAAGCCTGTAGGAGGCAATGGGCAGTGGTGATGGCTGAGGACCTGAACCAGGTGACACATGATGAATGGAAAGGGGCTTATTTGCTGTTACCAGGCAGCCCAACGACCCTAGTCATGGAGCCTGAAGGAAGAGGGAAGGGGCCTCAGCTGACTTGTGTTTTGAGGCTTGTCAGCTGACTCAGATATCAGGATGAATCTGAGGAGTGATTGGCTGGAGAGATGGATGGACAGGCATATGTTTAGGAATAGAGCTAGGAGAAATATCTGAGAAAATGGCTTTGGGGGGCTGCAGTGTGGGGCAGCAGTTAAGAGTACTTGCTGCTCTTGCAGAGGACCCAGATTCAGTTTCTAGCATCACCTTCACATGGCTCACAACTGCCTGTAGCTCCAGGTTCAGGGAATTTGATGCCTTCTTTGGGCACTGGCATACATGTGGCATACACACACATATGCAAATACAATATTTTAAAAATCTTTTTTTTAAGATGGCTTTAGAATAAGCCTCTTTGCTAAAGAAAACAAAATGGAAAGGGACGAGGAAGCCTAGTGCAGGGGGAGCCTGGAGGGAGCAGAGGGGACTCCAGAGCGAAGGTGTAGCCTGCCCTGCGCGCTAGTCTGTTGGACAAGTTTGATGGGGAAAATAAAACCCTTCTCCTATTCTCACTCTACTCTTGCAAAAACAGTGCTTTTTAGGCAAGTGAAAGCCTAGAAAATGTGGGGACACCTGGTCTGATGGGTTCTTTCAAACTGTACATTGAATGCTAGAAACCAAGAAGAAAACCCAATGGCTATATCTTCTACTCTAAGACTTGTAAAGTTCCAAAAACAGTGCCTGGCTGGAGTGCATGCTAGCTCTCACTGCTTGCTATACTGGAGCTGGGAAGCAAAGGCATCTGGGGGAAAGTGGGTCAGAAAGTGCAGACCTGGGAGGGCCTATTGGCCTTTTGTTGTTCCAGAAACTAGGAAGAATTTAGATCATAGACATAACTACAGCAGAATATTTCTCATTTCTGTTATTTTTTTATTAGCCCCCAGTAGTTTCCAAAGTAGTTATCAGTGAAACCCTTAAGTGAAACAAGGCCCCAGGTGCTTATCTTCGGGGCTGCTGCAGGGAGATAGGGCCTTCAGTGGGACTTGGAGCACACTTGAGCAGGCTCTAGGGAAGCTCCTCCAGGAACAGTGGAGGGAGTGGCTAACTGCTCCCTTTGAAGAAGGAGCTGATGGGCTTTTGAAAGCAGAGAAAGAAAAGCAGAAAGGTCTGTGTGAGCCAGGTGAAGTGGATATACATATAGCCCTAGCATGTAGGAGGCCAAGGCTCCTACAAGGAAGCTGTGAGTTCCAGTTCCAGGCCAGTCTGGACTACATAGTTAGACCTGTCTCAGCGAAAAGAAAAGAAAGGAAAGAAGGAAGAAAAAGAAAGGCTGGTATGAGGAGCCAGCACAGGATAAGGCCTGAGAAAGGACTCAGGCTTGGCTCAGAGGACACCATTGGGAAATCAAAAGGTTTTCCTGACCTATAGAGCAGAAATATGCCCTGCTATAGTTGAACATCGTTCCTTTGGGGCTTTCCTGGGATAGGCAGGGAACATCTGTACAGTTTTCCTTACAGGCTGTTTATTACAGGCTACACTAAAAAGAGTAACCCAATATATAGCAAATAGGGTTTGATTTTTTTTTAACTTTTATTATTTTTTTTTAATGTGTATGAGTATTTTGCCTGCATGTATATAAGTAAACCCATGTTGTGCAATGCCTGCAGAAGCCAAAAGAGGGTGTTGGAGTCCTTGGAACTGGATTTATGGATGGTTATTAGGTTTTTAGCTGCCAGGTGGGTGTTGGGGACTGAATCTGGGTCCTCTGTAAGAGCAACCAGTGCTCTTAACCACTGAGCCATTTATCCAGTCCATGTTTTAGGTTTTTTTCTTTGTTTGTTTATCACCTATTTATTTCCTGTATGTGGAAGTTGCAGGATCTGGCTCTCCACTTCTACCATGTGGTCCTGGGGATTGAACTCAGGTCATCAGCCTTAGTGGCAAACAGCGTTACCCACTGAGCCATCTCATTTCACCAAAAAGGAAAAAAAAATCCCAAACCAGGCCTCACTGTATAACCCAAGCCAGCCTCAAGCTCACTGTGTGGTTCAGGCTGGCTTTGAACTCTAAACTTCAAAAACTGAGATTATATGGCTCTGTCACCATGCCAGCTCAGATGGCTTTTTTTGTTCTTTATTCCTGGTGGATACTGTACTTGTTAAAACCTGGTGAAATGGCTCAGTGATTAAAAACACCGGCTGCTCTTGCAGAAGATCTGGGTTCAATTCTCAGCACCCACATGGTGGCTAACAACTGTAACTCTAGTTCCAGGAGATTTAACACTCTCTTCTGACCTCTGGGGGTATTGTACAACATGGATACACTTACATACATGTACACAGTATACTCATATGCATAAAAAACCAGAAGCCATACCTAACCCACTAGCATGGGCATGCATCTAGATGGATTTTCTATCCAAGGTAGAGCTGAGGGGAAATGTGTAGTGATTTTATTCCTGATCTGATATTATTTGCTATATGGGTAAAAAAAAGTCCTAGCTCACCAGTGTGTTCAGCAGAGATTGAGGGAATAGTGTGTAGTCATGGTGGGTAGGGTCTTGGGGTAGGAAAATGGCAGTTGTGGTAAAGTGGCCCCTTACTGTCTGCACACAGGTCAGGACCCTTTGAAGTACGAGCAGACCTGGAGGAGTCCATGGAATTCGTGGACCCTGGAGTCGCTGGAGAATCAGACGAGAGCGGAGACGAGCATGTAAGCGATGAGGAAACTGACCTGGGCACGGACTGGGAGAACCTGCCGAGCCCCAGGTTCTGTGATATCCCTTCCCAGCCGGTGGAAGTCTCCCAGAGCCAGAGCACCCAGGCGTCCCCGCCCATTGTGAGCAGTAGTGCAGGCGGGATGATCTCCTCTGCTGCAGCCTCGGTGACCTCCTGGTTCAAAGCTTACACTGGACACCGCTAATGAGCATGGACCAAGACATGCCAGTTTGTGTCACAAAAATCTCTCCCTCTGCACTCTAGTAACCTTGTCTGTATAGTTACAGTAGTGCCTGGAACCGAAGGAGGTTAAACCATCATTTGTTGTTTCCAGCAGAGAAACAAGCTCTTGTGCCTGTCAGGTGTCCTGTGGTGGTGACTGACATGCTTAGGACAGTAGAGCAGAGGGTGCAGAGGTCTTTCTGTTCAGACCAGCAGCAGCAGCAGGACCTATGGCCAGTGTGTTAGGTCCTCTGAGGCCCCCTTGTGTCCCAGTCCCCCTGAACCCCACAACGTGCTGGTTCCTGTGATGCTGAGACTCTTCCCGACACTCAGTTCTAGAGGTTGGTCAGATCTCAAGGAAGTGGTTTTTGGTGATGAGGACTGTAAAGACAAAACTGAGTTTGTTTTTTCTGTCACCTTTTGTAAGCCACTCACCAGTAGCAGTTTTGGTCTCGTTGGGGTGGGGGTCTTTTTCTGGAGAGTAAGGAGTTAAAGCTCATCTCTTATGCTGCTCTGTTATAGTTCATCACATTCCTGGTATTCTTCCCCACACACCAAAGAAACTAAGGTCTTTATTTGTATAGGACCCACATTCATGAGTGGGAAAAAGCCTCACTGCAATAATGTTTAGAAATGTCTAAACTGTATTGGGGAAATAAGTTCATTCTTACCTAGGTTACTGGGTTTCTTCTGTCCACACTATATTCTTTTTAAAATGGAACTTATTTTCTAGGAGTGAAAATGGCTCCTTCCCTGTGTGAGCTAAGTGCCTGCCTGGGCACCAGCCAAAGCCACTTGATTCATTCTGTGCGTTTTCTTCCTGAGAGAGCTAGTGACAGGTGTTCCTGGGGAAACCCCACTGCATGTTTCCTGGAGGTCTCCATGGCCTTGTGTGGAGTGCAGAGCACCATGGAGCTGTCCCAGGAAGAGCTCAACTATCAAGGAATTTCTTTCACCAAAACACCGCTTTCAGCTAATGTGTCTTGTCATTCTCTTAATGACAATCTTACAGAAAACTATGAGAGGCATTATGTACAAATTTGTAAGTAGTACTTTTTTATTTTTAATAACTGCAAAGAAAGAAATTCTGTGTAACAACTACAAAAAGAAATCCTAAGAGAAAGATTCCTCACAGGCATTGTTACCACGTCTAGTGTGACTAGCAGGATAGTTCCTCAGGTAAGTCACTCAGAGGTTTGCCACGCCCTGGCTTCTTTTTCATTGTAATTGTTAGCGTTGATACTTTGCCTCCAGATCTGAGGTGCTACATAGCCTTTGCTATTGGTGAACTTGGCACTTGGTAGAGTTGGGGTAGAGCTGCAGGAGGACTTATTCCTACCCAGAAGCCCCAGGTTCCCTGGCTCTGTTGAGTATCCCACTTGGGGAGGAGACAGCCTTTTCCTCTTGTGGGTGCTCCTTCAGCTGGAGTTGCTCTGTTAAGTGCTCATCTTGGTGGTTGTTGGGCTTGCATTTGGCCATCTACTTCTGGAATTTGCAGAGTAGGTCTGGCAGAATGAACAAATGCCAGCTGGAATATTCATGTGAGTGAAGAGAATGTGGAGGGCACAAACTCATGTCTAGAGCAATTCAACAAAACGATGTGTTAAGTATAGGGATGATAAGGTGTATTTTGTTGTTAATGTCAACTAGAGGCACTTTATGTCAGGTTCACTTACGTCAAGGTATGTAATCGGACCCTTCAATGACTGAACACCAACATACTGGCCTACACTGCTGAAATACTTGGGTTTCATTATTTTGCACTGGATCCACCTGTAAATATTCTTGAAATAGACATTTCAACCACTGTTTGTTTTTTTTTTTTCTACTCTTTGCTGCTCATTAAAACCTTTCATGTAGGTGCCAGAACAATATGTAAACAGCTTTCTGAAAAGTGAAGCTGGCAATTTTTTTTTTAAACAAAAAGCCATAGAAGTTGGTCACGTTTTCCATTTTTAAATGATTTATTGAAACACGATAATACTAATAAAAACGTAGCGGCACCAGATAGGCTGCTTTAAATGGTCTCACAAGACACTTTTATGTACTGGAACGTAATGGAGAAAAGTTTGCACATGTGGAACTTAACTGGGGAAATGGTGTGTCACCAGGGGTACGGCAAGCAGGATTCGGGGAGGACTCGGGTTTGCTTTGGGAAAGAACTGCAGTGTCAGAGTCACCTCGCTGTGTCACGGGGCAGGAATTTCCTTTTGCTTGGAGACTTCCAAACCGGGTTGAGTCATACAAATGTTTTCTAAACTTTTATTGTGTTACTGCAATAAATCCTTTAACAGAACTTTACTAATATGTCTTTTAGTTTTCTACTGCTCCATTAAGGTTAGCAAGAGCACGAGCTAGTACTTCATATAAATTGTAGAATAATTACTTTAGAATTTGTTTTTGCTAGGTAAGAAAAATATCTGTTAATTTTAAAAATTATTGGTCATGGTGATAATTAATAATAATGATCTATTTTGGCAAATTGAGAAAATAGTTGCTTACCAGTAACCTGTTTCATTCTCTAAAGGTGTATGTTTGACAACCACAGTATAATACATATGACTTGTGGCTAAAGGAGTGGGCCTCTGAGATGCCCACATGGAACCCACTCACTTTGTCAAGAAAGCATTATAGGGGACCTCTCAAGCTGAGGGGAGACTGGGAGCTTTGGAGAATCCTTTTTGAAACTAATGTGTCTTCATCAGTGGCTTCCCGGTCACCGTGGAGGAGCTGCCCAAGTGGAGAGAATAAAGAACTGCTGTGAACAGCTGGGCTCTGCAGGAAGGCACTGAAGAGTTAGACCTTTACCATCCTCTGCTTTACTTGGAATGGGAGGCTCCTCAAAGGGCCATGGTCTTTAGCATTCCTGCCTTCCCATCTTCCTAAGTACCAGTTTAGACCATTCTGTGGGATATACAAAGGGAGAGTTCCTCATTCCTGGTTGGTTAATTTCTGTTTAGTGTATGTGTGTTTTGCCTGTATGTAAGTGCACCTGTTGTGCACTTGCCTGAAGAGACCAGAGAGGACATTATATCCACTGGAGATGGAGTTGTAGACAGTTGACTGCCATGTGGATACTGGGAACTGAACCCAGGTCCTCTGCAAGAGCAGCTAGTGTTCTTAGCTGCTGAGCCAACTCTCCAGTCCTCCAGGTACATTTTGTCTGGTGAAGAAGTGTGAGGCAGAAGGGAAGGATAGCTTCTTACTCAGTACCTGCGATGTGGCAGAAAGTTGGAACTGTGCTCTAGGCCATCACATCTGTGAGCCCCAGCTTGGAAATTTGTCCTCATTGCAAGCATCTGGTGAGAAAACACCCCGAGAAAGATATCTAGGCTCTGCTTTGAGTTACACAGATTAGGTGGGATTTAATTTTTTTTAACCAGAGACCACAAGTGGGATAAACATTTTGTGTGTGTGTGTGTGTGTGTGTGTGTGTGTGTGTATGGGGGGGGTGCATGTGCCATGATTCTTGTTGGGAGGTCAGAGGACTATTTGAGGCATCAGTTTTCTCTTTCCATCATGCACATCCCAGGGATTTTGCAAATGCCTTTACCTGCTGAGTCATCCCACCAGCTGGGACAAACTTCCTGAAGAGTAAAAATGTCAAGAAACACATAAAATGTCCACCTAAAAAAGGGAGAAATTGATGGGTGATTTGAGAGGAGAATGGACTCAAGCCACTTGAAGGCTGTGATACTAAGGCACTGACACCCCCAGAGCCCATGTCATCGTTCTAAGACACCATACCCCCTCCCTCTGGGTATGGTGTCTTAACATTTACCAAATCAGAAGACTCAGGAAAATACTTAACTGTGCTTTCTCAGTTAATGCATTTTCCTAAATTTAAAAGAATTGCCAGGCGTGGTGGTGCACGCCTTTAATCCCAGCACTCGGGAGGCAGAGGCAAGCAAAGCTCTGTGAATTCAGGGCCAGCCTGGTCTACATAGTGAGTTCCAGGCCAGCTGGGGCTACAGAGAGACCCTGTCTCCAAAAACCAAAAACTAAATAAAATTCTGAAGCTATTTCTGGAGCATAAAAGCAAGTATGTGGCTCTCGATTTGGGCATATGCCCACGTGGTTTGGAAGTAGATGTCTCAGTATACAGATGATAGGAGCAGAGCATCTGACCAGTTCAAGGAGGACTGTCTGGTGTCCATGGGAGATGGGAATGCTTTCTGGTGGGAGCTGTTGGCAGTGGCTTAAGGGACCGCTATCCTTTTGATGGCCTTTCAAAGAGCCGGAGAGCTACAGAGCTCACCACGTCCAAAACTTTAGCTTCAACATTTTTCAGTCTGCCTACCTATAAAATGTGAGCCTTGAACTGCAAAATAAGCACCACCTGGGAACTTGCTAAAAATACTGTCTCGGGCACCTTCTCAGATCTACTAAAGCAGAAAGAACATTGAACAAGGGTGAGGGCTCCACCATCTAATGAGGCATGAGGCAAGGTTAGAGATAGGCTGCAAGTGAGTTTTCTGTTCTTGCCTTGGGCCCTGTAAGTAATGGGGATGGTTCACTGCATACCCACACTCAATAAATCCTTGAACTTGATTGTTTTCAGTGCAGCTGTTTCTTCTGCAGAGCCTACTTACAGTAGATTCAAGGGGCCTGAAGCCAAGACTGCTGGCCATGGACAAGGTCAGACCATAGGTCCCAGCTTGGGCTCTGGGACAGCCAGGCTGCCATCTTTGCTTAGGAGGGTAAATAAGGACAAACTGGAGCCAAGGAACCACACTCTCTGTAGCCACGTAAACTGCTTAACAGGACTTTGGAAGAAGGGAGAAGGAAGGTCTGCACTGCAGCTCAGTCACAGGAGTCTGGGTAGGTCAGGCCTGGCTCCATCCATCCCCACCGAACTGCAGAGACAGCTGTGCAAACAGCTTATCGAATACCATGAGAGGACAGATTTGACTAAAGACATCTCCGATTTTCTGATTGTATCTGGCAGTCAGTCTTACTTTTGGTATTAAAAACTTCATAGGTCTTTCATGCTACTTCATAACATGGGAGACCAGTGTCAGCTCATCAACAATTTGATTCTCTGGTTCAGTGTGGGCAGGAGGGAGATAAAGGAGGGAGATTGCCCCTACTGTTGGGGAGGTGGACCCTGCTGCTTCCCGAGTCTGAGTCCAGGTGTCCATACAGTGCTCACCACTCAGCCTCGGCAGCTAGGCTCATGTGGCCAACGTGGCATGCTGTGCAATGTATGTAGCTGCTTCTGCTGGGTGGTGGGCAAGGCACAGGATTTTCCCGAGCAATTCTGGGCATATTCCACTTTCCCTCAGTGCTCATTTGAGAACCTAGTCCTACTGGCTTCTCATTCCAGAGAAAAAGAATTGAAGAACCTTTAAATTTTTTTTTTAATTTATTTTTGTGTGTTTTGCTTGAATGTATGTAAGTGCACCACAGGCATGCAGTGCCTGCACAGGTCAGAAGAGGGTGTTTGATCCCCAGGAGATGGAGTTACAGATGGTTGTTAGCCACCATATGGGGGCTGGGAACTGAACCTGCGTCCTCTCCAAAAGCAACTAGTGCTTTCAACCACTGAGTCACCTCTCCAGCCCCAAGGATCTTGTTTTTAACTTCATCTTTGCAAATCCAACTTAATTAAAAAGTAATCTGGGTGCTGGAGAGATGGCTCATCAGTGAAGAGCAAAGGATCCAATGTCAGCTTCAGTTCTAAGTCCTGTTCTCTGCTAACTAGAGAGTGGATAAGCGATGGGGGGCATAGGAAAAGAAAAGTTTCATTGGCTTTAAAAAACTTATTATTTGGGGGGGTCCATGTGTCACAGTATGGGGGTGAGGTCAGAGGACAACTTTGGAATTGGATTGTGCTTCCACTTTTAACATGGGTTCCAGGAATCAAACTCTGGTTGCCAGGCTTGCATAGCAAGCACCTTTACCCACGGAGCCAGCTTGCCTGCCCTCATTGTTTATAAGTAGTGGGGTTTCCCCTCCCCAGTTGCTGTAGCACAAGGGACACCTTCTCTGCTCCTATTCCAGCTCTTCCCAACTGCCAGGTCTAGTGGTTCTGTTCCCATAAATAACAAGATCAACCACCTGGAATGGGGGTGCTGCTCAACTGTGCCTGCTTAAACAGTTTGGCATAGATAGACATGCTGTCACCCAAGGGTGCAAACCACAATGTTTGCTTTTCCCATGAAGCTGTGTAAACACCAGCTATGGCCATAAACTTAGGAGTGGTGTGCATGTCAGAAGGGACCAGGAATTTTTCACACAGGCTTTCCCTTTACCAACCCTAAGAGACTGATTGCAACACTAGCCTATTTGGAACCCAAAGGAAGCAGGGCTTAACACTATCAGATTCCACAGGTGCCTAGCACTGCACGGTAAACATATGTTTATACAGGACATGGGACCTGATGTGCAGCCAGATACCAACTCATTATTGGCACTGTTTGCAGTGTAAAGAGGGCTTAGTGCCAAATGACTTTCTGATGTATGTAAAGCAGGCTGTAAAGATAAATAGCCAGTCTGCTAAGCAAAGAAGTAATGGTAGCAACAGAAGAAGTTGGAAAAATAGCTGGGAACACTCAGGTAAAAACTGTCCCAGTTAGTCCGAATGGGCGGGCAGGTGCAGACAAGTCTATGCTACAAGGGGTGACTGGACAAAGTCTAGGAAGGGAGCCCTGGGCCAGGCCATAAGCATCTGCCCAGTCTGCTGGGAGTAATGGTCCAGAGCAAGTAACTGCACGACGAGGGAAGCAGAGCAAACCACCTATGACTGCTGTGGCCGGAAGAGATCCTCCAGGTTTCTCATCCTCCACAGGAAACTGCAGAATGAACCGGAGATGTCACATAAGTTGGCAGTAGCAAGCCAGGTCTGGTGGCACCTGCCTGTAATTCCAGCTACTTGGAAGGCTCAGATGGGAGGAACAGAAGTTTAAGACTCACCTGGGATACACAAGACTATGTTTAAAAATATATATGTAAAAGGATTAGGGATCTGGTTTAATGGTAGAGTGTTCACCAGTATGCATGAGGACCTGGATTCACATAGTACTGTAAAAACAAAAGGTTCATCTGATTAAACATGGGGTGCAAACATGATGTGTACCATGTGAGGCACTGAAGTTAGGGGCCCAAAGTAGCTGCCCTGAGTCCAGGGAGCACCAAAAGCAGTGGTAGAGGGACATGTAGGGGCTAAACAGTGAGGGGTGCAGAGTTGAGTCCCTACGAAAGTGACCCCGAGCAGGACCATCGGTGTAAATGGTATAACAGACACTATGACAAGCACATTTTAACATTACAGGTCTCACAGTGTAACCCAAGATCCCCTCAAATGGGCGATCCTCCTAAGTGCTGGGATTACAGGTATGTACCACCATACAACTTCACTTTAAAAGATTTTTTAATGGATTTTATGTATATGAGTGTTTTGCCTGCCTGTATAGTAAGGATCTGTGTTGTGTGATGCCCACAGAGGTCAGAAGAGGGAGTCACGATCCCCTGAATTGGAGTTAAAGATGGTTGCTAGCCACCATGTGTGCTGGCATTCAAACCTGGGCCTTCTGGAAGAGCAGCTAGTGCTCTTAACCAGCTCTCCAGCTCTCCAGCCCTATAACTGCACTTTTTCATCCTAGTAGTCCTTGATCCCTTTCCAATCCTCTCCTTTGGGTCTGAGTCAAACTGCCCCAGAAACAGAATGGGGAGCCAATTCCCATTTTCAAATCGAGGGCTTGAGGTGAGCAGTGGGAGAAAGCACCAGCAGGTGTTAGCAGCCTGAGCTGAGGGAGAGTGAAAGGGGAAGTTTTGGGTGGGGAGGGAGAGGGGAGGGCATTTGCCTTTGTGACTGGGACCCTTTAGCACTGCAGAGAAGTAGCACCAGTAAAGTAGGCAGATGGTAAGAGTGGGCTGTTTTTCACAGCTGGCACTAGGGGGCCACATAGCCTTTCTCCAAAGGGGGCAACCACACATCCAGCAGTGGAGACCAGCAAGGGTGTCTTCAGATGCCAGCAGCTCTAAAAGCCTCTGTCATTCCCACAGACAGCATTGGAAACCAAGAACTGCAAGCCAAGTGATGCTGGGGCGACCTTGTGCCCTCTACTCTTGGTCAGCCCAGCCCCACACACAGTTGTGTGGCATGTGATAACCAGATCAGGAACGGCTGACTCATGAAAACCCCAAGTTGTTTATCCTGCATATGTATCTATGTGGGAGAACCACAGCCAGCGACAATGACAGTGAACATTCGCTGCATGAGGCATGTCACACACTCCTGCCCTTTTAAAGTGTGTTATCTCCTTTAACCCCAAATTACGAGTCACAACAAACTTATTGGACACTCTGAGATTGCCAGTTTGGAACAAGCCAACCACAGATGACAAGCTGTTCTTAGCCTCTTTTGCTCTTGTGTCAGCAATTCTGAGCCTGCAGGCCAGCATAGCATGGCCTGTGTCTGTCAGGGGAAAACTAATCTTAGAGACACTTCAGTTTTCACTGCCTTTCTGAGGAGGGAGCAGTTATCACTAAGGATGCGGGGGGCACTGGAGAGATGGGTCAGTTAAACCCAAGGATGGGGCTTCAGGTCCCAGCACCCATAATGAGCAGCTCACAACCACCTGTAATTCCAGCTCCAGGGGACCCAACATGGTTTTCTGGTCTCCAAGAGACCTGCATTCTCTGTGGTCATCTACACACATATCTTGGAAGCCTCTCTGCCTCAGCATAGGCCAATGTGGCACTACCTTAATTCTGTCCTGCTCTCCACTGCCTGCCAGTCCTGGCCAAATTTGCATCCTTTCAGGCCATTACCACCTTTATCACATTTGTCCTCTGTCCTTCCGCTGCCAGCTTAGGCTGGCTACAGAGTGTTTTGTTTGTGTATTATATGAGCAATTGATTTCAGGCCAACCTAGTTTTTTTCAATCCCCACCCAACAACATTTTGGGGCCCAGTACCCCCCAACTTTACCAAGCATCCCATGTCCTGAGGAGATCGTAAATGGCTTTAAATGACTATGCTGGACGAACTGTGAGTAGACAACAAGCTCAAATGTTAAAAGGCTGTAAAAATGTAAACACAATGTTATGGGAAGGTGACCTCTGTTGTAGTAAAATAAATAAATAAAGCTTTATCCTCCCTTCTTCCAAATGAAACAGTTTTTAGGTTGGGCTTGAAACATCATCTCCTATTTTAACCCAAGCTTTCTTCACACTAACAGTAATTCTCCTACTTTAGCCTCTAGAGTGCTAAGATTATAGGCATGACTCCAAAACTTTTTAAAAAGGTCCGTTACAAACTCATAAGAACCTTTTTCAAAAACATTACAACCCAGCAGGTGCAGTGGTGCAAGCTTGTAATTCCAGTCTGTGAGAAGCAGAGGCAGGTGGACCTGTGAGTTTGAGGCCAGCCTGGTCTACATAGCAAGTTCCAGGCCAGGTGGGGCTACAGGGAGACCTTGTCTCAAAAAAAAAAGAAAATCAACAAACAAAAACCCCATTACACTCAAAAATTGCCCCCACACAATCAAAAAGCCTTGTACATTTAAAATGTATGTTTTTATTGAAGTTGAAAAAAAAAAAACTTTCCGTTACCAGACAAAGGACAGACAATGTTATAATCTGACTATATAATATTGTCTTATTCTTGGTGGCTCACTAAAAAATAACAAACGATCATTCTTTATGCCAATTTTAAGGTTGTCCAGTTAAACCATTATTTGGTAGCCTTTGAACACGTTAACCTCTTAACTATTTAGAGTTTCTTCTCAGAAACATTCATATATTATACAGCAAACATTCATAGTTTATTTGGGAAACATTCATATTTTATACAGGATGTACAAAATTTGAGGAGACAACACACAATTATAGCCGCAACACTATCCTAGCTGCATTGTGGTGATTATGTTGTTTAGTCAGCTGTCCATCATATACAATTGGATTTTAATCACGTTATCTACAGAGGGGCCAAAGCACTCATCTAAAGGTAAAGGCGCTCGGGTCTAATGTGCACTTTCACAGCCCTATGAAAACACAACCATTATATACACTGTAAACACCACAGGGCATAAAATCCATCTCCAACCACAAACACCATTCTCACAGGATCAAGCATACAAAGTCTAAGAGTAAGGTGCCTGATTTTTCCTTTGTAGGCATAATTCTCATCCAAAGGTTTGCTTTCTCATTTCAAATACAGTGCCAGTACTGTGGAAAAAATTCTGCGCCCATGTGAGGACGGACTGCGGTGATCTCTGAATGTCCCTGATAGTGGCAAGTCTTCATCCTCTGAGGGTGGAGCTGATAGAGGAAAACAGGCAGTTACTCACAGCTGAGTGAGTCAAGCTGTGAGATGCCACTCTGGGTCAAATGTGAGGCACCACTATAAAACCCAGGGACTGATTTTCTTGTACAGCTTGTAAATTAAGAGTTTACAAAAATGCCTGAGCACTGGTAGTCCTGATCTAAGCACAGATTCCCGTACGGGTGGGGACAAGGCAGCACACTGAACGGTTTATTTAGGAGGTGCAGTCCTGTTGCCTTTCACGTGGGCTTCTAGTATTCCTCTTCAGTCTCACTCCCTCTTGCTTTCTTATGGATTGCCCTGTTAAAGCTGTGGCAGGCAGGGACCCAGTGATTGTCGTGAAGGCCCAGCTTACAGCCCGGAAAGCCCTTCTGAGACCGGTGGCAGCACATCCAGTACCCAGGCCCATAAGGCAGTGCCTGGCAATAGGGCTTGGGGTGCCACCGGCACAGTGACACATCCCCTTTCACATACTTTTTCTTGCACTGCTTGCAAGGGTCTTCTCTATAGCGTGGGTCTCGGACCCAGCGAGAATCTGCTGGCCTGATGTTGTAGTATTCAATGATAAACTTGAAATAGCAGCAGGTACATTTAAGAGCCACTAAGCTCCTGGTGGGAAGTAGCCTGAAGATTTTTACCATGATGTGGTGAGGCAAACATGCCATGTACTGCTGAGGCTCCAGAAGCTGCTGAATTTTAAATCTAGTCTCGAGGAAGTCCTGAGACACCTGCTTCTTCCAACTGGATGCCTCAAGCACTGGTAATGTGCTTTCCACTGCAGGGGCTGGTGGTATGATTGGCTCAGCCGAAACACCTTTCTCCTTGGATGCATCGTCGCCCTCTGCTGCCTTCTGAAGCCGGCTGCCCTCTGAGGACTCCTGTGTTGTGCTTTTATTCAACTGCAAACATTCTGGCCGATCCTGTCCTGGTGACAGAAAAAACAACATCCCTGGAAGGGGTTCTTCAAGGGAGCTGAACCCGGAAGGCTGGTCTTTCTCTACCTTGGATACAGTGATGCTAATGCACAAAGATTCTTTTCTTCTCTGATCAGGATTTTGGTGAGTGAGTGGAACAAGCTCTCTACTCACACAATCGATAGCATCTGAGGACAATTCAGTGGCTTGAAGACAGGCGTGAGAAGAAAAAGGTAATGCATCAAGTTCATCTGTCATTTCCACATCATACCTGTTGCTGTTTTTCATGGCAGTTTGCTGACATGGTTTCAATTCTGTGCTGTCTGTGTGGAAACTCACACCTGCTGGCAATGAAGGGCAGCCCCGAGAAGCACCATCCCAGGCCTGGTCCCCTGCAGAACAATGGTCAACTCTAGAGGGTCCTCCACACACAGACACTGACTGCATGGCATCTACCTGAGTGTCAGGTGCCTCCAAAGTGCCTTTTTTAGTTTTGTCTTCATCAGCCTGAGCACCATTTGTTAGCAACACCCTGCCTACATTTCGACGGAAGCTGTTATTCCGTGACAAGCTCCCAGGTTCCCGCTGGTTCTGGCGCTTCAGGCACTCGGACTCCAGTCTGGCTACCATATCAAGGACACGGACTGGTTCACTCTGTGGTTTGCCAGCCTCGGGATTTCCTCTGTCTGTGGGTTCTTCACAAGCTCCTGGGGCAGAGAAGGGCTCAAGGGCAGGAGGTATACCTCTGGGCTGGCCAGAAAGCTTCACAATGGCAGATGCATTTGTGCAGTTTTTTGCACAGCTAGCTAGCAGAGCACTGGCTCTCTGCTCGAGGAAGGCAACCATCTGTATCACTGACAGAGGCCTACCAGTATAGACTCCGTCCCCACTGTCACTCACATAATGCACAGAACAGTGCTCAATGCCACACGCAAATGGCTCAGGCTGGTAACACCGGCTATTCAGTTCTCTCATCTTTTCTAGCTGGACCTTGGCTTTCTTAAGGTCCCCTGATTTTTTTCTTCTCTTGGTAGCTCTCCCATCAATATCCCAGGAGCTTTTGATTTTCATAGACCCTATCCTATTGCTATACTGGTGGGCTGCAAAGAACGCAATTTTCTCCTTGGTATTTCCAGGTTTCACAACAGCCCAGATATCGAGCGGTCCTTCTTCTTCGCCCTGGTGGATTGTTGCAGATGGCACATTCTTTTTGGCTTTAACATTTAAGCTGCTCTCCGCAGAACTCTTCCCACTCATATTGCACAGAACATTTGGAGAAAGGACCCCAAAAGGTTTCCGAGATGATGCTTTGACAAGAGAGGCTGAAGGAAAGACCGTTGGTTTCATGTAGTTAGCTTTGCCTTTTTCATCATTGACAGCCTTTCGGTGGCTCATAGGTGTTCTCAGAGTGTCCCTGCTGCCTTCCAGAGGGCACTCTTTCTTCTGGAGTTTCCAATATGGCTTTAGGTGCATAACAGATGCCCTAAAAGAAGAGAATGGAGACAGGTCTTTTTATTCTAGCAAGAGAAATATTTTCTAACTGCTTCAGAGCTAGTTTCTAATGAGCCAATCAAATACAACAAAAGCAAAATAAACAGTCGTTATCAGCCAAAAAATAAACTGGTTTTGACTGATAAGTTTCAGAAAGTACGATTAACATAAAATTAATCCTTTAAAGATAGTTAAACTTACCCAAAATGCTTTAGTATCACAACTTACAGAGATGCAGGAAAGTATAAAAGAAACTCCCCCACATTCCCCAGATTTTCCATTTTGTCTTTTTTTGGGGGGTGGGGCAGGCGGGTCTCATGTAGTCTAGGCTGGCCTTGAACTTGCTATATAGCTGAGGATGACCTTGAACTTCTGATCCTCCTGCCTCCAAACCTCCAGAGTCCTGAGATTACAGGTGGTACTGGCGATAACCCAGGGCTTTGTAGATGCTAAGCAAGGACTCTACCAACTGAGCTACATCTCCAACCCCTTGGTTATTTTTTGTTTTGTTTTTCAAGCAATCTCACTGTGTAGTCCACACTGGTTCAAACTTGTGATCCTCCTGCCTCATGGAGTACTGGGATGACAGTCATGCACACCATGCCCTGGCCCAAGTAGACTTTTAATCATTATTTCTTAAGGTCATCACAACTAGCACTTTAATGGCTGCATATTAAACTTCACTGTATTGTTTCCTCAACTATTCCTATAAAGTTGACTATTTTGCTCTCTGTAACTTTCACTTGTCTGCTTGTATGCTTTGTCCACCTACCAGTCTAGACTTTAAACAATCTATTCATATGAAGTGTTCATCCTTCTGGGCCTTTTGGCTAAGATCAAGTGTAAACACCTACTGTCAAATTTCCTGTAGCTATCTTAAATAAAACAGAGATCCCATAATCCTTATTAATTCTAAAGAAACATTTGGACTAACTCAGAAAAAAGTGCTTTGTTTTCTTTCCTGGCCAGGAGGTGGACATGGAAGGCATTTCAGGAATGAGACAGAAAGATGATTATTAACACAGACCTATGTCCATGTCTCTGCCAGATCACTGATTAGCAAGATATGGTAAATTTACCTTAGGCAAGGCACTTCCTCTCTGGATCTGAACTGTAATGTTAATTAGAAACACTAGACAATCTAAGGCCCATGCCCTACGCCTTGGACTGTAGAAAGTATGTTTTCTAGGGATAGATGGTCTCCTGAAAAATAATCCTACAAACCAAAATAAACATCTGCTGTTACAGGTTGGTGTAAGGCCACAGCATCTGCAGGTCTACACATGGGACGACCTCCTACTGCTCGGGCTAACACTACAGTCTTCAACATGCACCTTGGGCAACTCTTTGTTCCACATTTAGCAGCCTCTATGTAACAACCTTCAGGTATCAGTGGTGATTATCAAGTATGAAAATGATTGGTTCTAGTTTACCCTTCATTTCAACTTTTATAGTCCTGTAGTCCAGTCTCAGCAAACAGATATGGCTGTCTTCTAACCAGGTAAATAGAAACTCTGATTTAAGAAAGAAAAAGTGTCTTAAAATTTTTTTACATTTATTTTTTTCTTGAGGGGGGAGCATGTGGAGCTCAGAGGACAACTTGCAGAAGTTGATTCTTTTCCTCCACTATGTGAGTTCTAGGGAATCAAACTTAGGTCTTCAGGCTTGGTGGTGAGGGACCTTACCCCCCACCCCCTGAGGTCATCTCACCAGCCCTGAAGTGCCTTTTATTTATTTTTTAAAATATATTTTTTATTTTACGTATATGAGTGTATTACCTGCATGTACATGAGTGCACCTGTGTCGTGCAATGCCTTAGAGGTCAGAAGAGGGTATCGGATTCCCCTGGAACTGGAGTTAAAGACAGTTCATAGCTGCCATGTGGGTGCTGGGAATTGAACCCGGCTCCTCTGCAAGAGCAGTCAGTGCTCTTAACCACTGAGCCATCTCTCCAGCCCCTGGAGTGCCTTTTAAAAGATAAGTCTTGAGGGGCTGGAGAGATAGCTCAGCGGTTAAGAGCACTGTTGTTCTTGCAGAAGAGCTGGGTTCAAATCCCAGCACCCATATGGGAGCCAACAACTGTCCATAACTCCAGTTCCAGGGGATCCGACAGCCTCTTCTGTCCTCCGCGGGCACTGCACGATACAGGTGCACTTACCTACATGCAGGCAATACCCACATACACACAAAATAAAAATAATAAAATATTAGGGGCTGGAGAGATGGCTCAGCAGTTAAGAGCACTGACTGCTCTTGGCAGAGGACCCAGGTTCAATTCCCAGCACCCACATGGCGGCTACAAACCGTCCTTGACTCCAGTTCCAGGGGAATCCAATGCCCTTTTCTGACCTCCGCAGCACTGCACGACAGGGGTGCACTCAAGTATATATGCAGGCAATACACTCATACACATAAAATAAAATGAAAAATATTTTTAAAAAGATAGTCTTGAAACAGAGCTTATCAAGATCATTCTGATTTTTGTTGGCTTCTATCCTAACCATCTGTAGAGATCTAACCCGTTTCTATAGCATGACATTTTTAATAGCTTTCTATCATATTCAATAATTTAGTCTTCCAAAAAGAACCACCCAGAATTTTTTAAGAACAAGATGACATATAAATGAATAAAAAACATGTTGAGTGCTGTCTCTTTGTGCCAACTATGTCCTGGTTTTTCATATCCTTCTATAAGCAAAATGAAAGAATTTGGAGGCTGGGGGAGCTACAACAGATTCTCTCATAATGATTTCATTACAGAATGTCTGTGAATAAGTTTAACGAAAACTTTAGCAATGTGTGTGCTATTCTGCATTGTGCGGTCTGTTCTCTTTGCTTTCTTCCCACACTCATACCCCCCACACTCACTATTTTTAGGTGCTACTATTGATAGACAAGGATAGTTACGAAGGAATTAACATTAGGCAAGGCTTGTTTGCACTTAACCTGTAAAGTCAACTCTGATAATTGCTGTATACTGCATTTTAGCGAGATAAAAGCAGGAGAAGATCCCAAGAAGGAAGTGAGGGAAGTAAAGGTACCCATAACCCAGGTGACCGCTGAAGATGGCAGGAGGCGGTACTACATTTATGTGCTGATGCTGAGAAGAGGGGAATTAACTTCTTCCCCTTTCTTGGTGGGCTTGAAGGCCCTGAAACAGAAAGAGAAACCTCAAATATCTGAGTTTCAGCTGAAATCAGTAGAAATTAAGGATATAATGCAGAGACAGCTGTTTCAAAAATCCAAAAAATAAAAACTTTTCATCTCCAACAGATTACACCAGATGGTGGCACTTTGCCCACCTCACCCCACCCCACCCTACAGACAGGCACAGCAAAAGTTCCAGCCAGGTTTCCATGGTTGCCAATCTCTTCATTATTTAACCAAAGGCCTTGCACGTGCTAGACAAGCGCTCTACCACTGAGCTACGGCCCCAGTCCTCAAAATTCTATTTTAAAAGTTTGCTATAATTAGCAAGGCACATGCCTGTAAATTATAGCACTTGGAATTTGGAGATAGGGGAATCAGGAGCTCAAGGCCATCCTCAGCTACACACCAATTTTGAGACCAACCTGGGCTACATGAGACCCTGTTTCAAACAAAGTTTGCTATAATAAAGTCCTCCCTCTTGCAGTTAAATAAATTGCAGACTTATCGCACCTACACACACATATCAGTGTTCCTAGACTTCTTTTATATAAAAAAATAAGCTCTCTGGGCCCACTGAATCAAATTTTCTGGAACTGATGCTTTAAACTGTTGACTGAAGCTAGAAGGAACTCTCGGGGCTGGAGAGGTAGCTTGGGGGTTAAGAGCACTTGCTGTTCTTCCAGAGGACCTGGGTTCAATTCCCAGCAAGCACACATGACCGCTCTGTCGACATCTAGCTTTCACAGGCTCTACATACATATCAGTAACATACTGGCAATCAAAACATTCATATAAAAGAAAATAAATCATTTTGTTAAAAAAAAAAAGGAGCTCTGATGACTATGTGTTAGATCCAATGTAAGAGTGTTAGAGAGGCTTTGGATTTGGCCTGGGAATGCTACTTTGGGCTGCTAGAAGGAGAGACACGGAACTGTGTAACAGGAAACAAAGGAAATAGTCTGTGCTGAAGCATCTATCTAGTGAAGGGGATTTTTAATGCTCAAGTCCCTCTTCAACCTCAGCCCCTCTGTTTATTCAGCAATACCTTCCCAGCTATCGTCTCTTCTTCCCTAGGCCTTAAACATAGGGCTTCTCAGGGTTCATTCTGTTGGCAGACCGTAAGTCCTTTTAGGCTATGTCTAGGTGACTACTTCTAGTTCTACCTAATTCTCACACATGATGACTCTCCATCCCATCATTTCCTGTGGCATACTCTCTAAGTATCAGAGCCTACTGCCTTGTAGACATACTCACCTAGATATCAACAAGAACCTCAGAATCCAACACTACTAGCTGATGTACCTCAAGTACCTACTCTAGCAAACCGGAATTGAGTCACTTGGATTCTTCCTCCCTGGCCTCCACATCCAAACACCAAGTCACTAAAATGTGTCCTCCTTTACATCCCTAGCATAACTGCTAAATTAAGCATCCATCTTCTCTCTGCTGTACTCTTAGTGGCTACAGGAAAAGCTCCCCTCTATCAGTGCCCATCCCAGCCAACCTATCAGTTTCACTCTTATTTTGCCGACCATACTTCTTACTCTGGAAACTTGTTCATGGAACCATGGGACCAGATAGGTGAACGTCAAACATCACAGTCAACTTTAAAGCAACTAGGACCATAAAATGTATCAGGTAAGATTTAGAACTATTTCACATGAATGTCTACACTATAAATGTCCATTTCCTTCTAACCACTTAGTATTACTAACCCTCTGGACTAGATTCTTACACAATTTTAAGACATAGTCATTGCCGTAGGGAGACAGAAAATTAAACAAGTACAACAGAATGTGATAGGTTCTAAGGGTAGTCAGTACCAGTGCTGTGAGAGTCCAT